CTTTCCTCTTAGGTAAAAAAGTTATTTATCCACTTTGGAGATGGGTATCACTTATCCAGTCCCCACAAAAATGAACATGAGATTCCTGGTCAATGATAGAGGTGTAAATCAGGATGGGCTGTGGGACTTTGGACCAGCCTAGCATGATGGCACACCGGCCATGCTAGGCCCGCCACGATGGTCCGTGCTGTGTTGGGCTTAGGGTTTTAGGTCTGTGCGTCAGGCACTTTGCACAGCCGCCCGTGGTCCGTGCCATGCCAGCCCGACACAGCCCACTTTACACCTCTAGTCAATAAAAACCAAAATCCCATTGACCAACTTTTCCCATTGTATATAGTTGTATTTGTATTCCTTTTTAAATTGAGCTTTAGGCTCAGTTTGGAAAGAGTGCAAATGCAATTTTGTACAGTAAAAATATATACAAAATAACATAAAATATAAGGTTTTGCATTCTACAACTTTGTATATGCACTGCTTCCAAACTGAGCCTTAGGCTCCATTTGAAAGGAGTACAAATACAAATGCGTAGAGCACAAAATTTTATATTTTATATGTATTTATATTGTACATATTTATATTTATACTCCTTTCAAACTGAGCCTTAGGTAAGTGTTTTCTTTATTATTTTTATCCATAAAATGAAATTATTACAAATGGTGATACTATGTCATGATGTTTTGGCAAATCTCTCTCCCAATGGGAGAGTTATTTATTTACCTAAGAGATAGATATCATTGACCTAGATAAGAAAAATTAATTTACTATAGGACCCACAACTTACTCAAAAGTGAAGAGAGGAAAGTTGATCAATGAAAATCACATTCCTATTGACCAATTCCCCGTTCCATTTACCAAAAAATTAACATAACCTTAAATCCAATTAGACTGAACATTTATTTTACTTGAACCTAAGGTTTTTAAAATCGGATCGGACAGGGAACTGTTATAGGGACCAGTTCCCGAATTGAATGGTCCAACCATCATGTTTGAATGAATGGCCTGTTTTGACTATAAAAATAAAAAGGTCAAAAATCATTATCTAGGTTGACAGTTCAACGATTCAACCAACTAGATCAACAGATCGTTGACCAAATTAACGATTTTTGGTCAAAAAACAATTTTAGGGTAAAACGAAATTCCGGTCTGATTTTGAAAACCATTCCTAAACCCCTTTGAATGCTGCTGAATGTCAAAATTAGATTGAAAATCCCAAGCCATGATTGAACATAGTACTTGAGGATATGGGGTGCATTCGGTGATACTAGGTATGTTTTTGGCACTGATATGTTTCATTAAATTTTCCATCTTACCAGCTTGATAACGCTATTTAATTGGGAATTGGCATGTTAGGGGTGTTTAACAACATGACTGGTTTTGATTTTGAAAACACAAAAAAAAAAAAAAAGTTGCCACACATCAGCACAATTATGTGGCAGAACAAAATCAAATATGGCATCTTATGTTTTTGAAAAATGCTGCCACAGTGATTAATCTTGAGATTTGTGAGATGAGGGTTTCTTCAATCACTCAAGTGATATGGCATCTTGAATTTGAAAAAGCTAAACTTTTTTTGAGATGTCATACATTTGTCACAATGAAATTATAGAATGGTAAATCTATGATGTGAAAAAGCATTGGCCTATCAATACCATTTCATTGGTCACCACATTTATGAGATTAGTTAATTGGTTATAAGGTGTTTATCTTTTTATAAAATGGTTATAAATTTTTTTAATATTATGTTTTTTCGATATTATAGATTTTTCTTTTCAAAAATAAAGTCAAAACACTTTAATAATAATTCATTTAGTATCAATCTCCTCCAAACAATGTTTTTTCTTAATAAAACGGTTTGATGCCAAACACATTATAATCGTATGGGTAGGGGTAAGGTTTTGTTTCATTTTCTTTTTTGGGGGTTGATAAGGTTTTTTAGTTAACTGGCAGGAGTCTGCGTTCTGTGCACCCGCCAATCACATTCGGCCGCATCGAACTCGGAGTTGAATGTGTAACAATTAAGTTTGGAGGTCCATCAATTGATTCCGTCTGGTTCAATCGGAAAAAAAAAAAAAAAAAAAAAAAACAAAACAAAACCCATTCATTTGGCTTCACGAGTTCGAACTCCCCCTCCCTCTTTTTATTTCGAAACCCTAGCACCCCCAAGTTCACCGGCACCTTCACTCCAACCGGCAGCACTGTGAACGACAAAGCCATTGGCGGCGAGGGACAAATAATCCAAACAAGCGTCCGTACGTCTTCTTCCTCTCCTTCCTTTTCATATGCTCTGCATGCCTGGAGTGGATACAACATATGTTGCATATGAACCCCCTCCTTCACTTTACCGTTTTCTGCTACAAAAGAATTGGTTAAACAAAATTAAGATATGATGAGTTGTTGTTTCTCTTCTCCTCTTGTTGTCCTCTTCATACTTGCTGGCTAAAGAATCGAACAATAAGCCCGCACCGACCCTGGGCCAAATCAATCATGTAGTGACCCCTGGTCCCTAACAATCTCACCACTTGTAACACGTTCAAGGTGTCGAACAATCAAGCCAATTCCCGCCGCTGCATTCTTTGCATATCCAGTGAATTAATCACGGATCCGACTACATGACCGGAGAAGAATAAGAAGAATGAGATGTTTCCCACCAGAAAATCTACCCAAGAATCCTAGTGGCAGTGGCTGTCAGGAAATCCACCCATGAACCCAAGAAGACATTTCCGTCATCTTGCTGTTTCCGTTGTGGCTCCGATGGTCACCAATGTTAAAGCCGTTAATGTCGTTGACAGCTTTCCTATCTCTACTCCTAAGCATGGTGTGGATTTGGCAACGGCTTATTCCTGCATCCATAGTCATTGGCACTTTGCCGGACACAGGGAATCACCATTAAAATGGGAGAGAGCAGTTTAAATCATGTGGACTTCGTGGTGGAGAAACCAATTGTAGGGTTGCCAGTAGAGCTACTCGTCTGGAACCAAGAATTCATATGTTGTATCATAAGTCACTCTTCTTCACTAAATTTGCAGGGAAGGAGGAGGAAGAGCAACAGCTTACTGTTGATCACGGGTTGTTCCTTTACCGCCGGCGTCGATTGGTGTTGGTTGCCGATGATCTGATAATAGGGCTAGGTTCGGAAGACAAAGGGGGCTAGGTTCGGAAGGTCAAATCGTGTTTTATGGCGAGTTCAACTAGCCGGACCACTGATAACGGAGAAAATCTGTTAATTCGCGTTTAAGACTAATGAAATGACGCGGAGAAAATCTGTTAATTCGCGTTTAAGACTAATGAAATGACGCGGAGAAAGACCTATAATTCGCGTTTATGACTAATGAGATGACGTGTTCGCCTTTCATTGGTGGAGAGAAGACTCCACCGGCCCACCACATTATTTTTTTAATTTCCATGATTCTGAAGGATGTGGGCCGTGGGTGGCGTTTATTTATAGATAAAGGAGGCAGAAGGATGATAAAGGGAACTCCTCCTCCTTCAATCCTCCATTGCGTTGCATACTTACTCCCATAGTCCATTCAACCACAATGAACAAAATCGTACACGGAAATATGGAATGAATGATCTCAAAAAGCAAGTCAGCCAGCTCCAGGCCTCCAACATCAACAAACAGTCAGTCACCGTTTGGTCTGGGGGACCTTCTTTCTGATGTGATCTGATCTGCACTCTGTAGTGTGTTGTTATTAATCATCTTCAATCTTCAATTATCACATTCCAATTTCCAACCGTTTCCTAGTCCCCTTCTCTGGAGTCTGGACAGCATCAGTTTTATTGAATGCACAAACTGGCATATCCACCATGATATCGCCTGGGACCCACCTCCAAAATTTCCTGTCGCACTGATGATCATTTGGTAAATGAGATGATCCATCATTTACCCATTTGCCCCACAACTCAAAACTACCTCTACAAAGCTTACAAGAGGGTAAAATAATAATAATAATAAAAAAATAAAAAATAAAAATAAACAACCCATAGATGTATGAATCCACTAAGCCTTGATGCCTGTGCATGAAGCTTATTCCCAATGCCTACAACGAGGGTCAATCAGTGTGCTTTAGAAAACTATATACAAATGAATGGAAGATTATGATCTTCCAAATCAATCAGGTTTTTTTTTTTTTTTACTTATATGCAGAGTTTGACTTTTGACTGGGTTCCGATCAAGTTAAATTTTCCCTTTTTTAAAAAAAAATTTTACACTCCACTCCACCTCAGAACTCTGATTTAAATTGCAATCTACAATAATTAAATAGTTCCACCTATAACATCTATATTGGTCCATAAATTGACATCAATTTCGAACTGATACCTATCCTGAATTGTTCAATTGAACTAGTATTTCAGAGGTGAACTGAACATTAAAAACCCCTTTTTTTAATCACATGCATTGCATTTCTTTTATGAATTATGATTTGTCTCCCTCTCGGCGCTTGGCCCCCTTCACTCTGTGAAGAAGAGAATAGATAAAGTAGTGAAAAATGGAAGATGTAAAATTTTGGGTTAGATATGCCTGTGCCAAATATTTCTTTTTTTTCTGCAATCAAAACATCATTCTAATGCATGTTTCTGGAGAATGAAAGTTCAGCTTAGGGTGACTAACTCGAAATTGATGCCAATTTACGGACGGGGCATTGATGCATAAAATTTGGGTATTTAACATTTTGAATATTTATAGGCCATTAGTGGAATTCAGAAATTTACATTGGGCTGTACGTACTTTTCCGAAAATAATATAAATACGGAAATATTTTCAATACACGATTATAATTTGGCTGTGAATGCGGTGTACGTAAACAGGGTCTTGTAGCACTGAATCCGATCTCTTGTAATCGTATGATGGTTATCCATCAAAACGTACGGTACAGAACTCTCACTGTTTTTTTTTTTTTTTTGTTATTTTAATAATAATAAATAAAAAGGAAAACTACCGAATGCGGTAACTACTTCCGGTTATAAAATCTGAATCCTTGCAGTTTAGTTTTGTAAAACACTTGAAGTTCTAACGGTCCACCGAAAACCGTAAAAATGGCGAGGTTCCTGTCTTCAGCAGCACTTGCACCTGAGCGAGAGCGAAGAAGAGCACAACCACCGCCACTCTCACTGCAATTAGCATCTATCAGTTGACCACCGGCAAAGTTACCAATACCCAGCAAAATCCCTACTGGACATGGAACTCCGCAATATGCTGTCATGTGGTCTCCATTCGTCTCCGTCGTTGATGCTTCTTCTGCTACTGCTGTCGATGGCCGGCGGCGGCCTCGGATACGGTTCAATGGGCCCGGTCTCCGCCGCTTTCGGTGATGATGGGTTTTTCTGCGCTATTGATGCCAGCGGCAAACAGGAGATCATTTGCTGGGCGAAGAATAGTTCCTTGTCATCGTCCGCCTCGTCGTCTTTTAGTGGTCTTCCTCCCATGGCTGCTCTCACAGGGGGAGAAGGTTTCATGTGTGGCCTTGCAGCGAATACCTCTCAGCCCTACTGTTGGAACAATGTCAGCTCAGGTTCGGATCTCGTTCCTCTTGGTTATCGAAACAACGCTTACTCTCACATCGCTGCCGGACAGAATCACGTCTGTGCCATTAGAGGTTCTTACTTTTCGAACATCGACTCGGGCATCGTCGATTGCTGGGAAATCCGTCGACGCCCCAATAATACTTTGATTTCTGTTTACAGTTCTGCATTTTCGGATCCAAATGTGAATAGTCTTGTTTTCAGGAAGATTGTTTCAGGGGAGGGTTTTAGTTGTAGCGGTGTTAGAGAAGGAGGCCTTGTCTGTTGGGGACCGAAATCGTCCAGCATAGGGGTTTCGGAGACATCAGACATCTTCGTGACCCTGGCTTCCGGGAGAGATTCTCTGTGTGGAATTTTGGCAGGCTCCGATGAAGTTAAATGCTGGGGCAATTCCAGTTCGTTCAATATGCCTCCGGTGGGAACTCGATTCGTGGCTTTAACTTCCGGTGCTCGCCATTTCTGTGGAATTCGGAAAGATGATCATGAGATTGAGTGTTGGGGCAGTGTCAATGCGTCGTCGGTTCCTAAAGGTTCGGGGTTTATGGCGATCGCCTCGTCTGATTTCACTACCTGTGGTGTTAGGGAAGCTGATCTCATTCTGGACTGCTGGGGGGTTCAGCCCCTTCAGGGGCCGTCACAACCAGATTATAGCGCACCATTGCAGTTATGCAGTCCGGGACTTTGTACGGTGGGTTCATGTGGTGAGGGGAAGTTTGCCTTCAATGCCAGTATGTTCAATGTGCCAGATTTGTCAAGCTTGTGCGTTCGGAAAGAGCTGAAGATTTGCTCACCTTGCGGGTTGAACTGTTCAGAGGGCTTCTTTCCATCCAGTGTATGTACCGAAAATGCTGATAGAGTCTGCACGGCTTGTTCGCTTTGCCAGAACAGCTCTTGTTGGGATGTCTGTGGATTTACTTCTTCTTCTTCTTCTTCCTCTTCTTCTTCGAGGAAGAAGCACCGTCAACACCAGATCATGGTATTGGTTGTTATAATTGGATCTTCTGTGTCAGGTTTCGCCTTGCTCTTGATTGGGTGGTGTCTTGTTCCCCGTGTAATTGCGCCAACTAGAAAAGAAAAACGAGGGGAAAGCCAATGTACATCTTGTATGGGCAAGCCAGAGGTGAAATCTGACATCAACACCGATCCACAACCCCCTCAGAGCATGGCTACATGCATAGGGACAACTCAAGTGTTTCGCCTCTCGGAACTAAAGGATGCTACTAACGGATTTAAGGAGTTCAATGAACTAGGCAGGGGGAGCTATGGTTTTGTTTACAAAGCGGTGCTCTCGGATGGTCTGCAAGTAGCAGTCAAGAGGGCCAATGCTGCCACCATAATTCACACCAACAGCCGTGACTTTGAAGCAGAGCTAGAAATCCTTTGCAAGATCCGGCATTGCAATATTGTGAACTTGCTAGGATACTGTGCAGAGATGGGTGAGAGGCTGCTTGTCTACGAGTATATGCTCCACGGGACACTTTATGATCATCTTCATGGAGGGCTCTCTCCTCTGAACTGGAACCTTAGGTTGAAGATCTGCATGCAGGCTGCAAGGGGGCTTGAGTATCTTCACAAAGATGCCGTACCTCCAATTGTACATCGAGATGTTAAGAGCTCAAACATTCTCTTAGATGCTGAGTGGGGAGCACGGATTGCAGACTTTGGGCTTCTTAGCTCAATTGACAGGGATTTGAATGGAGATTTTAAAACTGATGTTTACAGCTTTGGCATAGTACTGCTGGAGATTCTTAGCGGAAGGAAAGCCTATGACAAAGATAATGTGCCTTCAAGCATTGTCGACTGGGCGCTGCCCCTTATTAGAAAGGGCAAGGCTGCTGCTATCATTGATCGGAATGAAGACCTTCCGAGAAATGTGGAACCACTGCTTAAGCTTGCTGATATTGCAGAACTTGCAATGAAGGAAGACCCAAGTGAGCGCCCCACCATGTCTGATATGGCTTTGTGGTTGGAGCAAATTGTAAGGGGTGGATTGACATTCTAGTCATCAATTTTTTATCTCTGCTTAGCCGTTGGGGGAGATAAAATTGCATAAACACAGAATAGCTGCCATCTGAATGTGCATTATCTCCTTTACTGTACATTTAGTGTCCGCTTGTTGTATATTTCATTCCTTAATTTTTCTTCATTCTTTTCGTTTTCTTTTTCTTAACAAAGTCAAAGAGATTGCAACTGTTGCGGCAATATTTCTGCATTTTTTTTTATGAGAGTTCTTAAGGGGATTTGTGCCCTCTGGAGTAAGCATTTGGGATTTGTGACTTTTGTGTGTTTTCTGGGTAGGAGTTCTTCCCACTCGCACAGATGAGTTGGGGTGCTTGGAAGAAAATGATATCTTCCATAGGATGTTTTCTTTGATAATTATTGAATAAGATTACAAATTCTTCATTTTACTACATGCATGATTCAGCAACTGGTAGTTATGAATGATTGGATCCATGGTGGTGGAAGTGGAAACCAAGGAGGTACTGAAAAACCAAACCATCCTGTTTTATTACATCTCATACCTGCAGTGGAAGAAAAAAGTTTAGTGGGATCAAGTGCTCCTAATGCATTGTTCCAAAATTTGATTCGTTTTAGTTTCAAAACTTTGGAACTCTGCTGGTGAACAAGTCATAATGATCACCTAGTTGCTCATGGAGTGATTGCCCTAAACAACCCTTCAAAAGTATGCTTCATGAATGTTAAAATGTGATTGCATAAAACTGGTAATAACAACAATCTCTCAAATTGAGTCTGGGTCATTTCACCTTCCACTTCCACACAGGTGAAGTGATTTACATGGTTTTAAAAGGTAGTTGAGGCGTGGCAGCCAGATTTCACCTGGCCTCAGTAGCCTCAGCTTCAAGACAGAGGGCATAAGCCTCAATTTGGTTGAGGTGTATGTGTTTAACCTTTCGCCTCAGTTTATGTGAGGCAGGAGCCTCAAGTTGAGACTCTTTTGGGTGGGGAGAAGTTCATTTTATAAAGAGTAAACTTGGAAAAAATGTAGAAGGAAGGTATAAAAACCCAAAAGTTTAGGGCTTCTTTGATCAAATCTCAAAAGAGGGACTGAACTCAGGAGTGTTCTCTGTTCTGTAAGACTAACTTCACTGTGTTCTTCAATCAAGATATTTTTTTTGATGGGAAACAGTAACTTCCATTAAATTTTAAGGAAAACTAGTACAAATGTCACCTTCATAAGAAAGGTGATCCCTCAATCATAAAGTAGATTACAAACACGCCCAGAAGAGATTTTCCCTAACTCCTTGCTTTGCTAAGGTATCAACCATTGCATTGGCTGGCCTCCTAGTCCATTTAAAGTGAACTTCAAGCTCCCTTGTTATGTGCAGAATTTCCCTTACAGATGGTCTAAGGGGCCAGGTGCCCAAAGTGTTTGTTTGCATCCAGCCTACTACAAATTCCGAATCTCCCTCCACTTCCAAATGTTGAAAACCCAGGTGGTAAGCCAATTTCAGCCCCTGTAGAAGTGCCAAAACTTCTGCTCTAAGAGAGTCCCCCAAACCTATTGGGCCAGAAAACAGGGCCAAGACTCTTCCTTCCCCATCTCTAAAGACACCCCCAATTCCGGAGGAGCCTGGATTACCACAGAGCTGCCATCAAAATTCAGCTTAACACCAAAAGTTGAGGGGACCAGTCTTCTTAAACAGCTATAGAGGAGCAGGATGAGGTTGCCATTGTGCTCCTCCTCTTCCTTCTTCTTCTATTATTATGTTTTATAGACATTGGGGATTGTAGAGAACACTGATGCGGACCCCACTGCTGTGGTCCCTACTGTGTTCGTATGGCAGCATAGCATATGTTTTTTTTTGTTAGTTATGTCAGTGTTACTTGGTAGTTATTTCAATTTGTTGTTACAGCTTTTTATTTCAGCTTTATTATTAGTTTATTTTCCTTGTAAGCAATAAGGGCAATTCAGTCCTTTTATAATTAGTCAACATATATAAATATTAAGAGTGGGTCGGCAAATCATTAAGATCAACCATCTCTCTCTTTTCTAAAACCCTTCGTGTGCTTCTTCTTTTCTCCCTCTCTTCTTCTTTTCTTCTAAAATCTTTCCTTTTTGCTTTAGAATTCAAGGCTGATTGTAGACTTGATCGACTACTTGGTATCAGAGCAAGGATTAGGGTTTCTCATGTGAGTCTGATCCAGCCAACCACATGAGAGTTGCCTAGGGCTGGAAGATTAAGAGGATCCCTTTTCGGCTGATTCTTGGAGGTTATCAGAGACTGTAGCAGCTGTCCAAAGAGKGGATTGTGTTCTTGATAATCAGGAAGAATCAGAGGAAGATAAAGAGTTCAAGATCAGTTTCTTTATCAAGACTGAAGGTGGCGATCAGAATTTCTATTCAAAACCTAAAACTGGTTGCAGAGAAGGAGATCTTATGTTAGTCTAATTAGATTGACTACATGAGAATTTCCTAGGTTTAGAAGTTTTTCAACAAAGAAGGAGGATCGACTGATTCTTGGAGGCTACTGGTAGTGTGCGGCTACTACTAAGAAGATTGTAGAAGGCTGGGAGAGTTCCA